GTAGCAGTGGCAGTAGCAGGAACAGCAGCAGTAGCAGTAGTAATTAGTAGTAGTCGTCGTCGTAGCAGTAGTAGCAGCAGGAGGAGCAGTAACAGTAGCAGCAGTGTAGTAGTCGGTCGTAGTCGTTGTCGTGGTCGTAGGATCAGCAGCAGTTAGTGCAGTTAGCGGGAGCTTCTGTCATTGGCTCCATGAGGTAGCAACGGGCGAGCTACACCAAAGGCCATCCAACCAACAGACTTCGGGTATGGTTTCAGCAAATACCAAACAACAGCAGCAACGACACACAGCACAATTTTACCACCCCGGCTCACGACGGTCGATGACCACAACGACGAAGTAACAGCAGCAACGACCAACAAGACAACAAACAATAACAAGCAACACACCAACACAAACAATCAACACAAATGTAATTTTGCAGGAAGTTGCAACGACCTCGATGTTTTGGGGGATTTTGTTGAGGGATTCTGGCTGGCTTGACACGGCATAAAACCGTCTAGAGCAAGAAGCGCCCAAAGGAACCAAAGGTCCTATTTCCGAAGCGATGGCCGCCAAGCACAACATTTAGACCAGCTGGCAGTCAGAATGGCAGATCGCCCAAAATCTCATGATACCGCATGATAGCCCTTATCCTCAACATCATCATCAGCATCCTCAATTTCTCTCCGTGACAATCGGTCATCCCCGGCGCCTCGGACTGCGCCTTCTCGAGTTCCCCAGTGAGCGAAGCGACTTCGGCCTGCGGCTTTCGACTCTCGGACGATGCCAGGCGCATGGCTTAGCCGACTCCTATAGGATCCTCTAGGCTTTGCCACTCGGCGCATTTCTAAATCGACTTCCAACCGTACACTTTTCATGGGCTCCCGCACACGGACTCGCCAAATGAGCTTCACGGCACAGAGTCGGCCGAAAAACAGCAGGAGCGCAGTTATGGCCCGGAGCCGAACGTTCAGGGGTCCGTGTGATCTTGTTCTTCGGCGTTGAACCCGGTTTGAAGGGATTTTCCAGCAGCTTATGCCGCAAGCTTCTTCCAGACGTGCAAGAAGCTACGAAGGCATTCCCGCGAGAGAGGTGCAAGCTGCAGCTGATGCCGTTTACAATCGCACAGCGTAAATCAATCACAATGCGCAGTGTTGAGCACATCGGAGCATGCAGTCTGTGCAGGGACTTCAGTCCTGCCTAGCTTTCACAACCGATTAATGCCGGTCTGCATCATGCTAGACAGTTGCCAAGGAAAAGCCCGACTCGAAGATGGCACACCTGTCGTCTAATTCCCTCCTGCAACATGAGGTCCAATCTCCATCACATTGCGGCTCACTTCAGCGTTTATGCCGGGATAGCTGTCACTTCCACCTCGGCACGGGGCACCATCGTTCGCAGCTCTATCAAAAATCGCCAAATGTCCGTAAAGATGAGAGATCGGCGTGTTTCAACGAAGCGCCAAACTACCCTGACCAAATGGCAGATATCGAACGAACTGACCGGCGCGAGTCGGCAAACTCCATTCCGCAACAGGGGTGTAACCGCACGGGAGAAACCACAGCTGGCATCATGAACATCACAATTCTTCACTCTCTTTGGGCTTTGCGGCGGCGTCCAGCAGCTTCTCCAAGGATGTAAGCTTCTTGAGTGCGTTGATGTCACTGGTAACCGACTTGCCCATGTTGCCCTTGAGCCGACTGATCTCCGCCATCAGCTCTGGACGTGGCCTAGTCTGCCACCTGGAGATGAACTTGGCCTCTTTCTTGGAGCAACCTTGCAGAGTTTGCGGCTTACAGGCGAATTCTTGGGATGTAGACAGCTCGCTGGCTCGGATGTCATGGAGCTTCAAGTGGGTCTCGAACAGTGCTGTCGCATTTCGATACAACCACAGCTCGTAGCCCATGACCTTCCTGACCACCCGTCGGACTGACGAAGTCAC